ACGGTAGCGATAAGAATCTGATTCACTTAGTAAATCGGCTCTTTAAGACAGATCATTACAGTGAACCGGTTCACTGGTTCAATCTGGTCCTCGCAAAAAAAAAGCTTCAGCGGAATTTTTGATGATTTGTTTTTTTTGTTTGTGTGTGGTAAAGTGATGTAAATTGCATTTTCTCACCCATATCTCAGTTTTGACTCTTTATGTAGATTGTATCACTTTGCGAATTGATTTGAATGAAGCCTCGCAAAGAGCCGGTTAAAAATAATGATTTCTTCCTTGCTTTGTTTACTTTCTCTCCAGTTATTTCATTACTGCCATCTACTGGTCTGGAAACAATTTATTTTATTGGATTGATTTGTTTGAGAACCTAAAAACGAAATAGGAAAACTTAATATTCAAATAATTTGAAAAAAATAAATAAATAAAAATAAATAAAATAGAAAGTTTAATTACTGAAATTTCAAAATAATATATGCAAATGCACGAATATAATGACTTAGACAATAGAAAATGTAGTATTCATATGTGTATGTGCCATTTGTCCAGCAGATGGCAACTCAATCTAATATACTAAAGTTAAAATAAATTAAAGTAAAAATGTTCACATCAAGAATCATATAGGTTAAAACTAAAAAATAAAGGCTATATTATATTTTTAGCATCTTGACCCTAGAGCCACAAATAAACATCTTATGAAGATTTTAAAAAGATTATGTGAAACTAAAAATAAATAATACATTTATTTATTATATGGGCCTATATTAATAAAACAACATTCATTCAATTATTTTCCTGCGGCTTAGTCCCTTTATTCATCAGGGCTCGCCACAGCGGAATGAACCGACAACTTATCCAGCATATGTTTTACACAATGAATGCCATTCCAGCTGCAACACGGTAATGGGAAATAATAAATCCAGGTAGCAAAGAATTCTGGCCCTGATTTGGCCTTAATCTAGCACAGCAGGTATTCATCCGGCATACAGCATGTGGGCCAAACATGGACCTGGTTTGGCAGAGGTGGCACCGTCTTAAAGGCGGCACCCAACACTTGGGCCAGATGTAACGTAGTATTTGGCCCAGATGGTAATAACTGATATGAAAGTTTGGTCTATCTTGACCCACATTTAAAATACATTTTTATTATTTTTAAGAAAAGAAAAAAAATTCTTCCAATCAGGTTGAGAAAAAGCATGCAGATAGCACGCCTAAAGCGCAATGATTCATGGGTTTATCAGTTTCATTGCATTCGTGATACACCAACATATCTGGCCCAGTTCAGGCTCAGTTATGGGTTAACTTAGCCGAGTCCATGTTTGGCCCTTGTCTGGAAGCCAGACTTGCAGTCATGTACCGTAATTCACTGTGGCATGTGGGCCAAGCAAAAGCGGATTGTGTTGGCCAGAGCTGGGCCAGAGATATTCTGCTATGTGGGAAACAACAAATGAAAAATAGTTATTGAAATAAAACCAAGTATTTCACAACATTACAGGTCAAATAAGCCTAAATGTAGCCTTGGTGAGCAGTTTAATCTTTTTCGAAAAAAAAAAAAATTTAACTTTTGTTTTGTCTAATATAAAATAAGTCAATTTCATACAGTACAGTGTATTATTGACGCGGAAAGAAATTAAGCATCTACCCACAGGCCTAGACAACAGACACCGCAGCTTAGAAAAGGAGAAGTGAAGTCACAAGAATCATTTGATTCAATTGATTCTCAATGCCTTCGATGTTTGCTGATTGAATTTAATTTGATTCAACAAAGGAAAGGCCGGCAGTGGTTAGTTCTATGGTGGTTGCATGTTCTCTCTATGTTTGTGTGGGGTTTCCTGCAGGTGCTCCGGTTTCCCCCACAGTCCAAAGACAACAGTCCAAAGACATGCGCTATAGGTGAATTGAATAAACTAAATTGTCAGTAGTTTATGTGTGTGAATTAGTGGGTATGGGTGTTTTCCAGTGCTGGGTTGCAGCTGGAAGGGCTTCCTCTGTGTAAAACATATGCTGGATTAGTTGGCGGTTTATTCCGCTGTGGTGACCCCTGATGAATAAAAGAATTAAGCTGAAGGAAAATTAATAAATGAATGAAAGGGAAGGCAGTCAGTTTTGTTATGAGCAACAATACCCTGAAAAAAAAAACTTTCGAGCAGTTCTTCATTCAATTAAAATGTATCTTTCTTTTCAGTTTAATATTATTTTTTTCATTATTCAAGTAATTAATTTTAAGTTCAAACACAGTTAAACATAGTTAAGTCACATAGTTAAATATTAATATTTTTGATTTGGAGTTCAGTTAAGAGCTATTTTGACTGATGTAAAATTTTAAGGTTATATTCACACAGGTCAGTGCATGCATAGTAATCAAAAGCTCAATATGCTTTGTACTTTCATGCATTAAAAAAAATTGTTTAAGGGAAATTATTTATTTTTTTTGGCTCAAGTGATCAAATTTAGATGTGAAACCATTACCCTAATTTATTTTAATTTTTTTCAGTGCATTATAAAATCCTTGGATTACTGTAAATAGGCTATAAACGTGTTTTCACTCTTGATTATTAACCCAGCAAGCAATTTAAAAAAAAAGATGTCTGATAGACGTCTAATAGATGTCTAAACATGGTCTAAAACAAGGCTAAATTTGGGCTTTCAGATAAAATCTAATAGACCAAAACTAGTGGTCAAATAGACAGATCCCAGCAAGCATTTTTTTGTTTTAAAAGATGTCTAATAGATGTCTAATAGACGTCTAAACATGGTCTAAAACAAGGCTAAATTTGGGCTGTAAGTGAAAATCTAATAGACATCTAAGGATAGAACAAAACTAGGCTAGTGGTCAAATAAACAGATCCCAGTAAGCAGTTTTTTGTTTTTAAAAGATGTCTAATAGAAGTGTAATAGACATCTAAACATAGTCGTCTTGGCTAAAACAAGGCTAAATTTGGGCTGTCAGTGTAAGTCTAATAGATGTCTATGAATAACTCAAAACTAGACTAGTGTTCAAATAGACAGATCCCAATAAGCTTTTTTTTGTTTTTGTTTTTAAAAGATGTATAATATATGTCTAATACATGTCTAAACCTTATCTAAAACAAGGCTAAATTTGGGCTGTCAAAAAAATTTAATAGACATCAAAGGAAATACCAAAACTAGACTAGTGGTCAAATAGACAGATCCCAGCTAACATTTTGTTTTTAAAAGATGTCTAATAGACGTTTAAACATAGTCTAGACCAAAACTAGACTAGTCGTCAAGTAGACAGATCCCAGTAAGCTTTTTTTGTTTTAAAAGATGTTTAATAGATACACATCTAAACATAGTTGTCTTGGCTAAAATAAGGCTAAATTTGGGCTATCAGTAAAAAAAAATCTAATAGACTAAGAATAGGCCAAAACTAGACTAGTCATCAGACAAAGAGAAATGAATGACTACACATAAAAAGTCTGTCTAATCTGTCTATTTGATGACTATTCTAGTTTTGGGCTATTCTTAAATGTTTATAGATTTTCACTGACAGCCCAAGTTTAGCCTTGTTTTAGCCAAGGTGTTTACGTCAGATGTCTATTAGACGTCTATTAAACACAAAATTGTTTGCTGGGAAGAATCCCCTTACAAGAGTGAGGTTTAATAAAGCAGAATGAATGTCAATATTATGATCCTCAACTGAATTCACACACACACCACGCATCTCCTAAAGATGATAGATCCTTTTGTTGTATTAATTATCGATGTTAAAGAGATTTGCTCCGAGCTGCGTGTTGTTATTAGAAGATATGACACAATAATCTTCCCCTTTCAAGTTCACCCACGCTAAAAGTGATTCCACAAGAGAAATGAATATCTCAAAGTCGGATTTGCACCGCAAGCCTCCTAATTGTCGGAATAACGTCTCGTTGTTTGCCCACGCATTACCTCTAATGCTAGATGATAATCTCTGTGTTATGAGGCCCTGTTATTGCAACTGTACAATAAAGGTGAAACGAATTACGTGCAGTTCTCATCCCTAATTTACATGAAAAATCCAAAAACCTCCATGCAGGGGAATAAATTAATTTATCTCTGGAAAAAATGTGCAGCTTGTGTATTTAACAAAAAGGTACAGACAATAGATTTAGCTATCCCTCACTAGAAATTACAGCAAATAAGTTCATTATTTTTATTAAAAAAAGATCCGCCTAGCTCTTCTTCCAAGCATAACCTGCATATACAGTTGAAGTCAGAATTATTAGACTGCCTGAATTATTAACCTCTTCTGTTTTTCCACTTAAGGCAGTTATGTGGCACTGGTGGTCTTCTTTCAGCCCAGACAAAATGAGCGTGAGCCTGAAGTGGCTCACCTGTACAATGGCAACAAAGGCCAAAGATTCCAATTCATTTATGAGCCGTTTAAGGCAAAGATTTGGCAAAATGTAATCTGAATTTAACCTAATGTGGCCCATATGGAAAATGGTTGGCCCAAATGACAAAAGTCAAATGTGTTGACTTGAGTTATGGCAAAAATGAGTTGGCAAAAATGTGGCATAGTAATTTAAGGATAATCTGGGTCTAAACCCAAAGCCTAAAGTGGCCCAGATGTGATATGACAAATGTGGCCCATTTATCTTAAGACATATGTGGGCCACTTTTGGCAAATATTATCACAGAAAGCTCTAGCGAATGTGGCTGTGAGCCTTAAATGGCCCAGATGTGATATGACAATGGGGCCCAGTAATCTTAAAACATACAGTATGTTGGCCACTTTTGGCATATTTTGGCACAGTAACCTCTGGCTAATGTGGATGTGAGACTAAAGTGGCCCAAATGTGTTATGACAAATGTGGCCCAGCTATCTTAAATCATATGTTGGCCTTTTTTGGCAAATATTTGACACATTAAGCTCTGGCTTATGTGGCTGTGAGCCTAAAGTGGCCCAGACGTGATTTGACAAATATAGCCCAGTTATCCTAAGACATATGTGGGCCACGTTTGACAAATATTTGGCACAATAAACTCTGGTTAATGTGGCTGTGAGCCTAAAGTGGCCCAGACGTGATATGACAAATATGGCCCAGTTATCTTA